ATAATTGTCGTATCTCGCTGTGTTTTTCTTTTAATCTGATTTATTTGTACATACAATTTCAACCGATAAAAATTAAAGTCTCTTAAAAACCTTTTTAGTAAAATTACAACCCAAATCGTAATTGGTACTTAAAAATCCGATAATAACGTGGTAATAATAATGGTACGTCGCTCTTCCACAATTCAGATCGCACAAGAAAACCTCTCCGAAGTAGCAGAGCTAGGAGATACATTTAAAATTTAGCTAGCTAATTTGCTTAGTAGAGGTAGGTCACTGCATTTTTTCCAAAACTCTAAAACATAATCATTTGGGTGAATGTTTCATAGTAAGTGTAATTCTCTTTCAATATCGGTCTAATAGATATTCTCTTCGCCTGGTGATTGATTTATTTCGTCAAAGATCGTTGTTGAAGATGATAATATGGAGTTTGTGGAGGCAATAGGTTTGTCAGTTCGCCAACGTTTTCTTGGGCTGTTATGATCATTATATATATATATATATATATATATATATATATTATATATATATATATATATATATATATATATATATATATATATATATATATAAGGATCACTCAGACGAGTGGTGGGTTCTTATATCGGTCTCTAGGTGGAGAAATAAAAGACAAAGTTGATAGGCTGCTTTATCTATTTTGAAGACGTTTCGCTTTCGAGTTTTGAAAGCATCATCAGTTCATCTAAAAAATTATTACAATATGAGAACCACACAATCATGGAAACGATGTTAATTGTTACCTTAAAAAGATATGTAGCAGTCAATGTTATTAACAAACATGTGAATGAAACTAAGTAAATGGACATAATACGCTGATCTTGTATAAACAGTTAAGCAACTAACAACATATATGAAGATCATATATATCAGTTTATACAAGATCAGCGTATTATGTCCATTTACTTAGTTTCATTCACATGTTTGTTAATAACATTGACTGCTACATATCTTTTTAAGGTAACAATTAACATCGTTTCCATGATTGTGTGGTTCTCATATTGTAATAATTTTTTAGATGAACTGATGATGCTTTCAAAACTCGAAAGCGAAACGTCTTCAAAATAGATAAAGTAGCCTATCAACTTTGTCTTTTATTTCTCCACCTAGAGACCGATATAAGAACCCACCACTCGTCTGAGTGATCCTTATATATATATATTGGATTGACGGTCGTACTCCTTTTTCCGATATATATATATATATATATATATATATATATATATATATATATATATATATATATATATATATATATATATGTATATATATATATATATATATATATATATATATATATATATATATGTATATATATATATATATATGTATATATATATATGTATATATATATATATATATATATATATATATATATATATATATATATATATATATATACCGGGTGGTGAATCGTCCAACAGACCATAGGAAACTCAATTGGAAATTCTAAATTGTTGAATTCCTGCTTCTCCAATTATTTTACATCAAAAGCCATAACAAACCAATTGAAGAGGACTGAAATCTGTATTAAAAACAGATGTTATAACTGTTCTACAAGTTAATCGTAATTCAAAATTTTGCAAAAATATAATACATTTTTCAGACCACCCCCAAAAGTCAGGCCGCACGTAGGGCAAGAATGTGTATGGCGTGTTGTGTTTGATTATATTGATGTAAGTTGTTTGACAATATTCGAATTGTCAATATTTTTATTTTATGATTAAATTATAAACAATGAATTTTACTTAATACTAGTAATTTTACTGAACAATAAATATTACTTTGGAAACAAATAATTATATTGTTTACAAAGCGATAAGATAATGAAATGTACCCATTTGGCGAAAAATTGCAATAATGTGGTATTTAGGCAATAGTGCGAGCACTGACAGATCTTTATTTAACGTAAGATATTCTAATGCACTCCAATTTAATTCCAGGTTATACAACAATTCAAAGAATTCCAATATTGTTTTACTGTGATCCTTATTTCTAAAAATAATTTATGATAATTTCTAAACTCTAACAAATGTTATAATAAAACATGAATAAATCATTTTTATTATTGCTCCTTTCTCCTTAACTGAGTACACTTTTTAATCAACTTAATTGTTTTTTAAACAATAAATCACAAAATAAAAATTTTGGCAATTTAAATATTGTCAAATATCAGAAACATCAATATGACCAAACTAAGGGAAATCGAGCTCTTTACAGACGGCGCCTTATAATTAGATTTTTTTTAAATACCTCCAGAACTCTTCTATTTAGAAAAACGAAAACTGGTGCGATTGTTTATCCTCCAGAGTTGAATCGATTTCATCAATTGCCAATTTCTAGTACCGATATACTTGGGCCTGTGTAATTGAATGCTCCTTTAAATGGTGCTGATTACTTACATTTCCTGCAAAATGTTTTACCTGATTCGTTAGATGATGTGCCTTTAAATATTCGACAAAACTTATGGTTTCCACATATTATGTGGATGTTATTTTAATGGAAGTTGAGCAAAATCTAGAAATTAGCGTTCGAAGACTATCTGCCATGTATCCCACAATTTCAAAATCTTCCGTAGGAAATATCTTAGGCAACGAAAATGTATATCCTTTTCATTTTACAAAGGTACAAGCACTGCTACAAACAAATTTTCCTGTTCGTGAAGAATTCGCTATATGGTTACAAAATCAGAAACATCAAAATGAAGATTTTTTCAGATACATTTTGTTTTGCTACAGCTACATTCACATTTAACGTTCATAACGCACAATATTATTCGTACGTTGGTAAAAATTCCAACGCTGTTCAAGAATTTAAGCATCAGCATTGGTTTAGCATAATCGTCTGGATAGGAGTAATTAACGATTATCTGCTTGGGCCTGTAGAATTGCCTGCTTATTTAAATGGTGCTTACTTACAGTACAACTTACATTTCCAGCAAAATATTTTCGGTCCCGATCTCTTCTTAGTCTTTTTTTCTCTTTCATCGCTTTCGCCATCATATTATTCACAAAATTCCAGGCTTTCCCAATACAAAGCATCACTTAAACAGGTCACTGTGATCCCCTCGTTTAAGTCAAACGCTCACCGCAGTCACGTATTTGTCTGATCTAGCTCGTTCATACAAATATAGTATAATCTAGAGTATAATCAAGAGTAAGCAACTTACTCATTCGCATTCCTTTTCGGTGAACCAAAAGGTTTATGCCGGCACCGGTGAACACTTCCCACTGCCTTTGAACCTGTAGTTTTCGAAATGAACTTTTTGATTTAAACAATCATCTCGATTTTAAAAATAGTTCATACAAAATAATCATAACTTCCTGACAGTCGAAACGGGTTTACATGGTCTATCATTTAGGTGGTCTGCTATAACGTGTAAAAATGTAGCCACGTTAGGTGGTTACATACGGTTCCGTCCATCTCTCCACAGCTTTCGAAGAATTCTCCAGAGACTTAAGTCGATAGCGTCCTTACATCTAGCGTCACCAGCACAAAGTCGCTTTTGGTATGTATGTAAATCAATATTCCATGAATTCAACCTTCCAACCTACTGTATCAACTTGCTATATGCTTGCTATACATTTGTCATCAGGGTCGTATTGTATCTTCTACTTAATTTCAATTAAATGTGTAAGGTTAGTCTTGGCAACTCAGCAAGCCTCCAAATCCTACTTGCAAGGTCCAAGACCGTTCTTTTCATCTATAACCACTCCAGCACATATACTAGCGATGGATTTCTCTGTTATGCTTCTCGCCTCCTTTCTATTATATACAACTTTGGGTTTAACCTCGCTATCGTCATTTTTTTCTGTAACTATTTCAATGTTATTCCCAGAAGCTGGACCGAAATTTTGGTTGGACAGGAGCGGATGCCCTTACCCCGTCTAGATCAAAATTCTGTGGTTCGTCAGTTCTATCGAGTATTGCTCATGATTATCTCTTTGTCATTCTTGAGCCCTTTACCTTTCAGCATGATTATGTTATATATTATGAGTTGCGGGACGCGGGCATAGCCGTCTCATAAGTACTTTTGTTTGTTTAACACTGGTATTGTTCAGTTTATTTTTGTATTAGTAAGTTTTCAAGTTTTCTTCTTGCGCGTAGAGGGTGTAATGAGAATGGGGATGAGGGTAGGGTATTGTAGCAACTACGATTTGCTGCCTCACTTGCGATTTAGTGGTCGACAGTGAAACCCAGTACTTATTACCAGGCTCTTTTTAAGCTCATTCTCACTGTAATTAGTAGTCTATAGCTTGTCCCGTCTAGCACTCTAGATAGAGAACAGCGGCCAAGATTATATCTGATCTCTTAACACATCAAGGTCTCACTACTCCTTTGAGAGATTTCTCTTACATTTATCAGATTATAAATAAACTAGCACTAATAAGATTTAATTAAATAGTTAACAATGATGAATCTCCAGAACCCCACATTTTAGGAATGCAATTCTAATTGCATTTCTGTTTCTGAGAAATTTTCATTTTCCGATATTTCTGTATGTTATATCAGTGAACTGACTCTGCTACTCTATAAATACAATCATATTCACAATAGTTCCCAGTTTGCTTAATCTCTCTTTTTTTTTGTAAAATGCTATATTTTAACGGTCCACACACTATGCAACTTTTTGTTGAAACAAATTGTACACAGGTTGATCGATGATACAAGTCGCTCTTATTTGGCACACAGATTGGAACAACCCGAAGATCAATCAGTCTTTACTATTATAGAAATATTATTTGCGATTAGGGAAAATAAAATTAGAATAAAAGTGTAAGCAATGAACCGTCAAAAAAATTAGATAATGATGTTTTGTCTAGCTTGCTATTATGTCAGTTTCTGATATTGTAGTAGAATTTGCTCCCATAATCGCCTTTATCTGTTGATATAGATATTAGAAGCAAATATTTAAAAATTAAAATATATCTATACGTATTATATGCATCCAAAATGTTTACTTATATAAATTATTTTTGTTTCAGAAGTTCTTAATTAAGCTACAGTCAATAAAAATGGTGTGATTGAAAACTCGGATTTCTTCATAGTGGTGTAACTCCCGATAGCAGGGGGGCCACTCTCCAGTTTGGAGGGCATGGGCATGATATCGCCCGACGACGCATACAGCTATCCTCTGATAGCACGCTTCCTACATTCTCTGCCCCACGTCAATGTCAGCTTTCAACATGTCAACAGCTCGTTTGAACCCAACAATCCCGTATACTTGGAGGTAAGCTTTATTAATTAAAATTTTTACTCTGGTGGAATATTTTATTGTACTTAGTAGTTATTTATTAAAAATCATATCAATTATTAAATAAATTTACTGAATGACATTGTAGGTACTTTAAAGACTATGCGTAATTTTTACTTTTATCCTTTTTTATATTTTTATACTTTTTTTACTTTAATAAACTGTTAGTACTGTGCTCTATATTTAATATAAACGGGCATTGACACCGTGAATACAAAACATCCCGAATTTTATACGAATATGGGCTTTAAAAATTTAGTGGTTTAATTTCTTTTTGTACGGTTTATGGGAAAAATCTTTATGGGAAAGATGTTCAGGACAGTACTGGTCTGTAGTAGTATGTCTCTCAACGCTTTAAGTACCTATTTAAGAGAGCTTCAAGTATCTATTTAGCTTATAAACATTTTTCATAACTTTGATATTGTTTGTCACTCGCTTGTAAGTAGGCTCACTGAAAAGATGGTAAAAAAACACAATCTTTAAAAAAAACTTATAACAAATAGGAACCAAGCTGGCAATTTTTTTCTTAAAATCATATTTCCATTGTTTATTAACATGTAGCATTTTAAATTTGATTGATTCTTTGAAGTATATTTAAAGTCGCCTCGTATATGAAATCGTCTTAATAAAACGAAGAATGTTTTCTGTTTTTTAGTTCGTATCTTTCGAAAAGTGTTTTCAATCATTCTAACGTCGTAGAGTAATAAATCCATTAAATTGTTGTTTATTTTACTGCGGCGATTTCTTTTCATGTAAATGCGTTTCAAAGGATATCTACGTCGTTCGTTTGGTTTTGCTATTTCAGCAGTTCGTTGATTTTCAAGTTAAGCGAACAAATTTTTAATTTCGTCACTATCGGTGGAGCCACTGTCAAGGGCAGTTGGTTTCGTTTGTTTAGTCCGAATTTTCATCAAATTCGTAATGTTTTTTTTGTTATTAGTTTTTTTCATCAGAAGTATTGAAGTTTGGTAGCATGTGTAGTTACAATTTGAGGTTGGTTTATGATATTGACGGAAAAGTGCTTGGGTGGTATTCTTCAAGGAACCGGCAAATTTATATGTGGAGAAGTGAATATTATACTCAAATGTAATGTGTCAGTTTTTGTCTGAGTTAATCACCGATTTGGGTCGTGCTGTGTTTTGAAGAGCTTTGTGTTTTGAGAAGTTTTGAAAAGCCAAGCTTTGAAGATTGCAGTTTAATTAACCCGAAGTCCGATGGTCCAGTGCCCAGCTTTCATCGTATATTTGTTGTCCCTGGTCATTCCAGACCATTTTGCAGCTTGTGAGAAGCATTTGTTTGTTTTGCAGTGTTTTTGAGTAAAGTTCCAGCCCCAAAACTTTTAAAGGAGATATAATATTCAGTGATATCAGGTACTCTTTTTTTTTTGTAAACATTTTTTAAATATTTAAATAGTTACCGCTACAAAATGTCGCGCAAATAGGGTCCCCAACGCCCAGAGTTGTAAACCGAAAGCGCCATTGTAAGTCGTTTTTTTTTGTATTTTGTTAGTATTATTTGTATTTGTAACTGTTTGTGGTACACATAATTAAAGGTTAAATTTTATTTTCTTAACTTTTTATTTATTTTTTTTAAGCTAACCCTTTTTGAGTTTATTTGAAAAAGATATGTTTTGATTTTATTTTCTAATTATTTCCCTAGTTACAACTAGTGGTTGTAATAGGCATAATTAGGCACCTCAAGTGGCGCCCTATATTAAATTCCTTGAGGTGTTTCTTGTTTAATTTTTATTTTGTTTATCCCAAGAGCCCTTTGTTTCATTTTTTTTGTAGTTGCCCCATTCCAATGCCCTTATCTTTTACTTATCCACGACCCCAGCTCTCCTACGAAACCCTGAGTGTCCGTTCGCATCAGTAGCGATTATTTTGCTTGCCCTATCTCCACCCCCAATAGTTTCTTCCCCCAATTTTCTACCTTATATTAATGCCCCTGTGGTAGGCAAAATATTTTCGTTACAAAAAATGGCGCCCAACGTGGGGCCTGTATTAGATTTTCGCCATTTTTTTACCTCTCGTTACAAAAATGGCTCCCAACGTGCGAGGCTTTTGAATATTTCCGCGTTTTTTAGATTTTTGTCCCATTCCCCGAAGTCACATATCTTTTTCAATTTTTCTGCCATAGTTTTCTGCCATTTTTATGAAACCCCGTCTTCCAGGTAGTGCCCCGCTGTCCCACAAACAGTTTGTTTATGTATTTGTATCAACATATGTATTGTTGTTTTTTTTATGTATTGTTCTTGTATTGACATATGTATTATTGTATATCAACAGATGTATTTGTTGTATTTGACATATGTATTGTTGTTTCTTTTATTTCGTGTACTGTAGAAATTTTTCTATATGTATTTTTGTGTATTGGTAAATGAAAGCAAATATTTTGAGTTTGAATATTTAAATTGAATTTTAAATAATGTTTTGATATTGAAAAGAATTTTAAGTTATTTACAGTAACAAATTAAGTGTACCGTTATTGTGCCATTTATTTTTGATTGATTTGGCATTTCTTACAGAAAAATCGGTTTTTGTAATTTTGTTTTGTCTGGTCATTTTGAGTAAATGTGCTTATTGTTTGAGTGACTTTTTTTTGAGCTGATGAGTATAGTTGTGTTTTGTCTTTTGTCCTAAGACATTTCATTGTTTCCTCTATCCCCTCTCTGACGGCGTTTGTGTTATGCCACGGGCAGTAGGAGATTGTGAATGTGAAGAGTAGTCCCCTGTCCCCCTGTTGTTCCCTAATTAACCAGATTTGACGGCGTATGTAATGCCACGGGTTAATAGGAGATTGTGTTCCCCTGAGTCCCCTTTTGTGTTTCCTGTCTTGTATCTGAATGATGACAAGTGTAATACTCGTGATCGGAGGTGCTGTTTAGTTTTGCCTAGGAGCAGTCTCATTTAGTTTTCAGAACAAGAGCAAGGTGTTTTATGTTGTGTTATTTTGTGTAGCTCACTCAAAAGTCAAGTTGTCAATATTAGTATTTTTGTATTACCCTGTATGTGAAGTTTATCGAGTATGTTGTTTTGGATACATTGTGTATTTGCTTTCACCCAAACATTGTTTTAGTATTTTTGTCCCGCCCTGTATGTGAAGTTCGTTGAGTTTGTTTCGAAAGGTATTTTCAGTTATATTGTGATTTGCTTTTCATCCAGTTTTCCGTTAAATCAAGTCTATTCCTGTCCCAAGTTAACTGCTACGATTTCCATTTTCTTCTATATACAGTTTTCGTAAAATTATGTAGAAATAATTTTCGTCTATTTCCTTGTGAATTAAAAAATACGTATTTGGAATGATGTCATTCCTTATTTGCCGGTATTTAAAATGTGAACGATATCAAGTTTGTTTATTCTTTTTCGTCTTAAGTACTATCCCATGTCTGAGAAAAGAATTTTGTTTACGTTAACGAAATAATTTATTTCGTATGTAGACGCTGTCCTTAGTGTTTATAAGTTATCTATTTCGTCTTATTGAGTGTTTGAGCAATAATTTATTGCGTTTCAGAAATCAGCTGTTGTACGAAAAATATAGGTCAAATTTTTTCGTATTTTTAAAGTTTAATAGTCCAGGCAATGTGTGAACTTTTTTTTAGCCCCGAAAAAGAAAAAGTTTCTGATTTTACAGTCCATGGTCAGTCCGTGTGTTCTCGTGTTGTCTTTTGTGTTATAAGTAGGAGGAAGTAATAATACGATTTCGTTTGTCCATGGCTAAGGCCGATTTGTTAGTGACAAAGCGAAGTATTGTTATTTGCCTTATGTTTGTTATTTCCGTGTTTCCCCGAGTTTTCTTTGTTCCTATTCTGTGTTATAAGTAGGAGGAAATGATGATACGATTCCGTTTGTCCTTGGCTAAGGCCGATTTGTTAGTGACAAAGCGGAGTATTGTTATTTTTCTTTTGTCTGTTAGTCTTGTGTTTCTCCCTAGTTCTTTTTTGTGTACAAGTAGAAGAGAGTGATGATACGACTTCGTGTATTCCTGGCTAAGGCCGATTTGTTGAGAATACATAGCGAAAGTATTCTGATGTTTTTTCTGTCTGTTAGTTTAGTGTCTTTCCGTGTCTTTGTGTGGTCAAATGTAGTGGAGATATGTTGATGGTCTGAAATATATTAGTTTGTGATTTTAGTATTGTGTTGTTGAAATATCATATAGGACGTACAGGCATGTGACCTGGATTTGTGGTTCCTTGGATATTTCTGTTGTTGTGTAAGACTGCGTAGCAGCATCCCCTTTCCGTGAATTATTAGAAAGGATAAGCCTTTTTATGTGTTGAAGTAAGACTATTGGCGATAGAGTCTCAATAGCATTCCTTCTTGTTGTAGTGTTTGTGATGAAGTGTTTATGATTTGGTAAAAGCGGAGGTACAAATACTTGCATTGTCCATGGTGACGTTTTGATTTGCTGAGGTGAAAGTACCTGGCCGCTTATTGTGAAAATTTTGTTTATGTCGATTGTGAGACCATGTTAGTGAAACATCTGAAGTAGTTCTAGTACTACCGTTGAATGACCCACTTAGAATTCGCCAAAATTATATTGTTGTGACCCTGTTCGAGTTTTGTTGAAGAATAGTAAACGTTTCTTTGTGATTTGTATGACGATGTTGTATTCAATTATTATTCGTGAAGTGATGAAGTTTATTTCTTGATGTTGCCTCTTTATTCCCTTCCCAAACTGTGTCTTTGACCTTATTAGTTGTGATAAGAGGAACGGCTAGGTCGATGAGTTTTGGATTCGTCCGCCAGGTGACCTGTTGAGCTTTTAAGGAAGATAAGCATTAGTTTTTGCCTTGTGTATATATATATATGTGTATATATATATATATATACTCTTCTTCTTCTTCTTCTTTACCCTTCTTGCCCTGCTTTTGAGATTTGTGTACCCAGTTGGAAGTTTTATTGTTGATGACGGACTGTAATGAGTTTTTTGTTCTTTTGGAAGATTATAGTGATTCTTCTGTTCCCTTGGAGATC